ATTATATTCTTGATATCTTCCCACAACTCATGTAGGAATGTATTATAAATAGAATGTTAGACAATGCCAACTTTAAAGATACCCTGCAATTGCTTATATACCTGACAGCCATTTCTATCTCGGGCTTCATTGTTATGATCGCCACTGACAACTAATTACTGGATATAGAAAGATAATGAGAATAAAATCCAGTAAGACTGAAAACATTTAAAAAAAAGACATTAAACAGTCAAATAAGAGAACTGACTTACTTTAAAATGGCAGTCTATCATAAGTCAGGAACTATCTACATAAATAATTATCCCAAATTACTGAGTACTTAATGAGCTCTGGTAGTGAAGTTCATACGAAATCATATTGCTGCCAAAAAATTTGGCAGTCCAGAAATTAGCAGCCATTCTGTTCTAGAAAATGAGTGATCTCCTGCTGTTGGGACTTACAGCCTCTAAAACCTGACAAAGGGTTTATTTGAGTTACTATCAACCCTATAGTATTAAGTTTAATTGAGTCCTTATTGTGCTTTTTATACATATGTTTTGCTGTATATGAAAAAATTAAAAACACATACATTTTATATGAGTATGTTGTTGTTGTTAAGTGCCATCAAGATGTAGGTGACTCATAGTGACCCTACAAAGGAGAGTCCTCAACGCTTGGGTGTCTCTCATCCTCTCTCCAGGTTCATAGGGTTTCTGGAGGCAAGTTATTACGGAAGTGGATGCCACTCCTCCTTCCAAACTTTTTTTAACACAGGAGCTCCACCCCACTCTCTGTCTACACTGGGTAACCAGCCATTAATGCATTTGACAAGTCAATGTCACAGTGTCCAGCCTCACAGCAACCACAAGTTACCACCGTACAGCAACTTGTACACCAGGGCTATATGACCTAGAGGACTGTCTGAATAAAAACAATGAAAGACTGGCCCCAGAGACACAGGCCCGAGGGCCCGTCAGGGTCTTACCAACCAGGAATGCCCAAATGCTGGCAAAGTCCTTCCGCCAGACCCCCAGTTCACCTGGCCTGTCTGCTCTGCTGACACCCACATGGGACCCAAAGAACAACAATTGTCCTGAGCCCTCAAACCTGCTGTGCCTCAAGGAGCCGGAGTCTAGATTCAGTGGACATTAAATCTCCCAGAACCCTAGGTGGGACACGACCTTTCAGGGTCTTACTAACCCGACATGCCCAAATGCTTGCAAAGTCCTTCTGCCAGACCCCCACGTGGGTATATATGCATATAAAATCTAAACCTAAAACTATATATTAAAACACTACTATGATGTAATCCCAAAGGCATGCAATTTGAATCCACTAGCTACTCTACAGGAAAAGGATGGGCAATCTATCCCATAAGATTAACTGCCTCTGAAAATTTGCTGGAGGCTTAGCTATGGGTCAGTTCTGACTCTACAGCACACAACAACAATTTTATAAATACATAAAGATAAAAAATTGTTTTTCCACTCTTTTTACCTGGCTAAAGAAACTTCTGGGGAACTCAGGATCCTATTTTATAATTGAGGAAATACCACTGAAACATGAGTTCCAAGTCTGCTTCTTTATCAATGTCCAGAACAATTGATATTTGTCTCTCAAGTTTGCATGTGATGACCTAGATATGCTCAGGTGGGTGTAGAAAGGTTTTCTCTCCCTTTCCCCCCATTCCTTGCTCCTGTTTTCTCCACAGATATTTCCTCTGTACATCATGATAGCGCACAACTATAGTCAGGTCACAGAGGCTCTTTAGTCTGACTCTCATTCTATCCTGCCATTGCTGTTTTCTTTTTATTTGATTCCAGCTCCTGATGTGTCATAGTAGAAGTACAATCCTTAGAGTTTGCAAGGCCATTCCTGTTTCCAAACTGCTAGTTTTCCCACTAATAGTCAGATGCTATGTTACTCAGAGACTCCAAATTCTAGCCTGTAAATACTTAAATGATCAATCCTAAATGTGGTCCCTGCAGTGAAAGGACAATCACCTATTAGTGAAACTCATTCATCTCTCTATTCAACAAAATGAGGCTGAATTTCTGTCAGTAGACCAGTGGAACAATCAGCCTTCCACAAAATAAAGTGTCGATTGGGGCAGAAAATGGGAGTCTGCCTTCAGCACAAAGGCTGTGGAGGTTGAGCTGTCAGTCCTCCTCTTTGTCCCCATACCCCATGCTTTGCACCAGCTCTAGCGTGAAGGGAGATTTAAAAGCAACTAAGTACATATAAACATTTCTCATTCATTATCTGGGGTTTCTGCTACTGGGTGACATATCATTAGTCCTAGTGTAAGGCAAGCTTTAAAAACGTAATTACTTAATCATGCAGTTAGTTTCCCATCAATCCTAGCAGCATTTGTTCTTAACTAGCTCTTAAGAACAAAATTAGGAGTAATTTGTAAACAAAAGTAATTGAAGAAAGGCAGATATTGCCAAGGTGTTGACAGCATTAGCAGACATGATTGTTTCCCTTAATTCCACCACAGCACTGCAGTTAACAATAGGTAGCTGGCAAAAGGCAGTACTGAAAAATTAGTAGGTGGCATACGGCAGGAGGCTAAGACTAGGCAAAATGGTTCTTTCACATGTCTTCCAGATGTCTTAGTTCATCAGGCAGGTTGACCTTTTACTCACAAATTGATTTGCAATATTATCCCATGGGTTGGAGATTTCTGTTGTGAGTCAATATTATTAACCTGGCCATGACAATAATTTCATCATATTTTCTATACAATCTTATTAGATTTGAACCCAAGAGTTTATCCCTCACCCCAAAGGTATAGTCATATACAGATGAGACACAGAGTCAGTTTTTTTAAGACCCACCAGGTAAGTGACAGGTGAGGACACAAATGGCTGAGGCCATTTCTTCACTAGGAGAGCTTTTCTTGTTTCTATACCTGGCCACCTGTTATCATTTCCATCAACTTCACCGAATTGAAACTTTAGATCAGACACTGTACTAGACATTTAAGAAATAATAGTAAGCAATATATGACTCTAATTATCAAAGAACTCATGGTTTTAACAACCAGAGAAGCCAAATAATAAAATGATTATTGTGATCTGGGGGTTAGATGTGAGAAAGAATTCTAGGTTAGATAGCTTTAGGACAATAGAAATTGTTACTGAAGCAGTTCTTTCCCATAATATTGAACTGGGTAAATTTTATTTTATTCTTTTCTTCTTTTTATGATTATAGTACTGTATAGGGTTTTAAAATTTTAAGATAACAAATAAATACATATTTGTTTCTCTTGAGTGTTCAAGGCATTTGACTTTTAGGATTATTGGGCCAAATCTTCATTTTCAAAAGCAAACCAATCAGCTAGTTTCCATTGAACATCAACTGTGTGCAGAGCAAAGCAGAGTTAAGAATAGAGATAATTATCCAGATAATTATCCAGGCCCCAAAGTGGCTTTTATTGGTTTACATAGATCATTTGTGCAGAAGGAGGCTTTTCCCTTTTAATTATCTGTAAAAAGAAGTCATTCTATTACAAGACTGGCCTACTTCTTTAAAAAATTAAATAAAAATTACTTGCAATAAAAGTAAACACTTTGACTAGAAAAATTCTTCTAACAAACCATTAGAACTTGAAAAACAAAACTCCTTAGCTTAGATGTTAATGTCAATGAGTTGGGTGAGGCCTGAAGAACTCTATAATCATTAAGGTTTTTCAACATTCATGGTGAAAAGCAGAGTTTATGGCCTTGTCTTGCAGAGAAATAAAAATGAAGTTGACTTTCAGTGGCCAGAATAAAATCCTGGAATTAATGCCTCTAGGGGTCAGGCAGCAGCAATACCACCACGTGGGTCAGGCATCTCAACATCGAGAGACTAAAAATCCTCACCACCGGAGGAATAAACCACATTATGATAGAAGGATGAAAGACTAAAGTTGCCTACAATTTCATCTTACTTGGATTCACAAGAAAAAACCAAGACAACAACAGTCAAGAAATCAAAGAAAGTGCAGCTACATTGGGAAAATCTGCTGTCAAGGAGTGTTCCTAAGTGCCAAAGAGCAACGATGTCAGTTTGAAAATGAAGGTGTAACTGATCCAAGCCATGGTCGTTTCAGTTGTTTCCTATGCATCTGAAAGTTGGACAGTGAATAAACATGGCAGAGAATGAATCAGTTTCTTTTAATTGTGATGTTGGAAAAGAGTACTGAATATGCCACTGACTGCCAAAGATACAGATAAGTCTGTCTTGGAGTAAATAAAACCAGGGTGCTCTTTATAGGCAAGGATACTTTGTCTGACATACTTTGGACATGTTGTTAGGAGAGGCCAGTGATTGAAAAAAATATAACATACTGGGAAGCTGAGGGTCATACTGAGGGTCAGAGGAAGAGAAGAAGGGCCTCTGTAAGATGGAGTGACACAGTGACTGTAACAATGGGCTTGGGTCTATCAGAGATGGTGAAGATGCACAAGACAGAGTAAGCTTGAAGGCTGATGTTTATAGGGTAATTGTGGGTTGCCATTGACTTGACGGCATCTAAAAACAACAACACATGCCAGGTTGAGCTTTGGCATAATAAACATTTATGTATCACCTATGCTTTATGGGAAGCTTTGAGTATCTCTTTGTCAAAAGTAAAAATTTTTGTCCAGATATGCATCACAGTTAACTTTGTCAGCATAATCAATAAAGCAATCAACATCATCATGAAAATAGCTCGTTTAAATAAACTACATTTAATGGAGAAGGAAATACATGCAGATAGACTCAATTTGGATAACATGAATAGTTCTTCAGAAGAGGGCCAGGAATACCACACTATAATTTATTATTTTATATTTTTATTTCAAACATTTTAGGGCCTCTCTCTTCAACTCCAAACTCCACCCCTCATCCCCCGAATTTGAATTCATTTTTGACTTAAGGAAATACATGCAGTTAGATTCTATTTGTTTCTTCTGTATAGTTTTTCAGGCTATTTAGAGTTAACCCAAAATATGAAATATTATTTTATATTTTTATTTCAAACATTTTAGGGCCTCTCTCTTCAACTCCAAACTCCACCCCTCATCCCCCGAATTTGAATTCATTTTTGACTAGAGGACTTCTTTCCCTGGAAGAAGCCTCAAATGGCAAAGGATGTGCAAAATAAGAGCCTGAGAAAC